CATGCCAATCAATAAACATATCTAACACCTACATTTTAATATTTAGGTTCATAACACTCAAATCTTAACTTCACATAAAAAAAATATCACTTCATAGGTTTATTGCACCAGTGTTATCAATGTAAATATCAAACTCTAAGTGATATATGTAAATTCATAACAATAGTAGGGAATGTATGTAAATTTCCCAATGAAAGTTATGGCATGATGATTACCTGTTTGATGAGCTAATAAACTCTTTCAGCCGTGGATACAGGCCGGAGGAAGACGACAATGACTGTAATATTATCTTTGCTGCCACGTGCAGCAGCGTCAGTCACCAATCTCTTGGAACACAGTGTTGGCTCCTTCACAGTATCTCTAATAATGGATATCACTTCTTTATTGCTCATAACATCCCACAGTCCATCACTAGCCATCACCTTAAATGAAATTTGATTAAGTTCAATTTAAAATATTTGAATTTGCTTTAAGATTAGCGTAATATAACTCATCAAACATTTTTTGTGGGAAAATTTAGCAAATTTACATACATAGCACTCAATTCCTATGTATATAACAAATCTAACACATAAACGTGAATATATATGTTACTTTTGATGTGATTGAGAAATAGTGGCAGTTGAAAGGTAAGGAGGAAAGTTTAGGTGGTAGATATGTAAACACAGGAATTGGATGGTATGTATGATATTGCGCGCATCTCAAAGTAAGTCCATCTTGATTGATGATCAGGATATCCTCATTTAATTTGGCCCGGTAATTACGTTTACTATTTCGACCTTTACTTCAGAAACTCATTTACATATTTTCCAGTTAAAGTTGTATGTTTTGGAACTGGATACAACATGCAAGTAAATTTTCCTAATTCCTATGTATTTACATATCAAACACCTAAACATTACTTTTTTACATTTATACCGCCTGAATTTTTTACATCATATAAAAAATACCATCTGATGAAAAAAGTGGGCACTAAATATTTTAACATCATATCAAAAACATTTTAACACTGCAATTGCCGGTCCCAAGTCTGGATATGAAAAGTGGAGGGTTGCGTTAGGTAATCCACAGCCTGAGTAAAACTTATCAAAAAAATCATGACATAAATTTAGCTCATGTGACGGATAAAATTAGAGAAAGTCGTCTTAGATGATTTGTCACATTAAGCGTCGACCATCTCATTATTCGATTAGGAGAGTAGATGTTTTAGATTCGATTTATGTTAAGAAAGGCAGAGGTAAACCTAGAAAGTCTTGGGCTTATTGTATAAAAAATGATCTTAATTTGTTAGAACTGAATGAAAATATGACACTAAATAGAATGCAATGGAAAAAAAAAATTCATGTAGCCGACTTCACGTAGTGGGATTAAGGTTTTGTTGTTGTTGTTGTATATAAAAAATACCACTATTTTGACTTTCAAAAAGTGAAATATATCTTCTCTCGCATAGGTAAAGAGGCATATGTGTAAACGTTGAACTTTAGGTGTCGGATATGTAAATACATAGGAATAGAGTGGTGGGGATGTAAATTTTCCTTTATTCAATCATTGGAGGCCGATATAGAAATCAGTAGATAAAAAATATAAATAGAAGCATAGGTGTTATGAGATCTACCAAGAACTCATCAACTTCAGACAAAGAAGTTTCTATAATCTCAGGCTCCGCAGTCACAGCAGGCTTTAAGTCATCATCACCAATTGATCGTGTAACCTGGAAATAAAAAGAGAATCATGACCTATAAAATAAATACTTATGCATGGGTAAGTGCCATACATGTAAAAATTAAAGTATAGGTGATAGATATGTAAATACCAGGAATTAAACTGTATGCATGTAATCTTCCCATATTAAAATATAGGCCAAAAAAAATATGTTTAGCATATATGACTAGAAATGAAGTATTAAGCTACTAAAATGCAATGATCGATGATACGCTGAACCCTTTAACTGGGATTTCATCAGATTTAACATTCTAAAAATAAAGGCTATAATAATAATCAAGTTCTAATCACTCAGATAAACACTTAAAATTAGGGGTGTCAAATCGGGTTTGCTGGTTGGGTTTGGGATTGACCCAAAACTGCCCTATATAACCCCAACCTCAACCCAAATATTAAACGGGTCAGAAAGTTTAACCTGAATCTGACCGGCCTTCAATCCGTTGACCCAAACCAGAATCATATAACCCATTTAACATAAGGTATAACAGTTATTCATGTCAAATTCGAGTCGATTTCAAGTAGATCTCAGATCAATTTTGGTTTGATGAATCAATTAAAAGTCAATTTTGGCTTAATTGGTCAGTTTCATGTTTCCAGGTCAACCCAAAAAAACGAACTGTTAGGATTTCTAACCCGAACTAAAAATTATTTGGGCCAACTCGAAATCTATTTTTTAAGTCAAGTTTGGGTTGAGTGTCCTTAAAAAGGAATGGCATGCAAATTGGAAAAACCTGAAGTGCAGCAGGGCCAACCCTCCACGTATCCACTTGCCACGTCACTTCCATGCCTTCATTCATAACACGTGTCCTTTCCTCAGGACAGCTTGCAAGATGCTCCTGCATCAAATTTCGTGAGATAATGCGAGAAAAATATTAAACACCAAGAGTAATTAGCATATATTCGATTTATCGTAAACAAAAAAAAAAAAAATTTACAAACATACCACTCAACTCTTATGTGTGTACATATCTAACATCTAAACTTCAATTTTTATAGATATACCACCTTATCTATGCATGAAAAGTTGTATTTCACTTTTTGAAAATTAAAAAAATTATACTTTTGATATGATATGATATGAAAGATTTGGGTGGTATAAATGTAAAAAGTAAAGTTTAGATGTTTGATATGTAAATACAGAAGAATTGGGTGGTATGTATATAAATGCCCCTTAAAAAACATATTTTGACACCTCACTCATTGGAAATGGGTGGCCAGAACGACAGAGTATGGCTCGACAATCACCGGCATTAGCCACAAAAAGCTTGTCCCTTACTATTAATGTTGTAATTGCAGTGCACCCAGGATGCCAATCTTTCTGAATAACTCTCTTGGAATTACAATATGAGGTCAATTCTTTTCTGAATGAAATGTCTGTATTTACAAATGCTTCACAAAGTGCCTTTGCTGGACTGCAAATTTAAAAGAAGCATTATATACATACCACTCAATTTCTGTGTACTGACATATCTAACACCTAAACTTTTACCTTTTACATTTATATCACCTAAATCATTTATTTCACACAAAAATACCACTATTTTAAATTAGAAGTGAAATGCAACTTTTCATGCATGGGTAAGGTGACATATATTTAAAAAATAAAAGTTTAGGTGTTAGATATGTAAAAACGTAGGAATTGAGTGGTATGTATGTAAATCTTCCAAACTAAAAATGAGAAGGCCAGAGAAAATATTGTAATTATCAGCAATCAATAACGATAAAATTCAACCTGTTATTGTAACCAGATCGCTTTAGAAACTCAGGTAGAGCTCGAGCGGAGAACTCGGCAGCTGCAGCACCTAGATAAGCTTGATGCATAAAGCGTTAAAAGTATTTAAAAAGCTAAAACAAAACAAAATTATAACACCATTTTGATACTTCCTCTTAAGGCTACTATGAATGGACTCAATTCTATGTTGACTAACTGGGCTAATCTAACCACATTGGGTTAGCTACTCTGAGCTTAATGAAAACAGAGTTGAGAGCTTCAAATCTCCAAGGGAAATATGATACAAGTTGTAAAGCAAATAAGGACTACATATAAAACTACGATACTCAACATGCAAATTAAGAAAATTTTCTTCAATTATATTTATATAGGTTCTCAAAACCAATAACTATGAATCTTAGAATATGAACTTTCTTTAGTCAATTTGGAAGCCAAGGAATCACTTCAAATTACGATAAATCAATGGTCGAATTTGTTTCCAACTCAAAAGCATAAACAATTGGAGAGGATCAAACGCTTGAAAATTTCACATTACATATTTTTCAACTAACATATATACTCAATAAAATATATTTTAATACCCTATAAAACACCTAAAAACAAATGGAATAAACTTTCTCTTTGCAACAAAAATTTAAGTACACTATTAAAGTCGATAAAAAATCCAAGCATTTAAAACATAAAAAATTGAAAAAAAAAGGAACATGTCCACAATACCTTCATTTTATCCAACAACTAATAAAAAAAACAGCTTTGTTACTCATAAAAAAATGCATGACATAAACTTTAGCCGTTCTTGGTGACTGCATTATTTAGATGCAGTGATTATTGTGTTCTTGATTTAGCCAAATCATATCATATATGTCAAGACAAGGTGCTGTTTTTTAGTTATAAACCACGTTTGGTTTGATATTTGTGGGAAATAAAATTCTGTAAGTTTATTAGCCTCGCGAGTTTAGGGACATATAATAAAACTTTAGATAAGGTTAAACTCGTGCCTAACTAGAGAGCAAACTTATACTTTCAATGCTCTACACAATGTAGCGTACGTGTATTATGCCGATGTTTAGAAAATGAAAGTTTGAAAGAGGTCAGCTGTAGTCATGAAAATGCAAGATGCAGTACTGTAGTGGCTTTTTATGAAAAAAATGATTTCCTCAAGGGTTTATGGTGCAACATCTATTTCTTATTAATCCTTCAATGACAAAACCTCTTGGAAACTAAAAATTCTTAAAGGATTTTAGGCTTTCAAGGTGCATGTAAGGAGTAGAACATTGTGATGAGGTAATCTTATTTATGAGATTATTCTTTGAATTCTTCTTTAGAGCATGGGCATACTTAGGGTTTGAAAATGGCTAGTGGGTCTTACTATGTTTTTTAGTTTTTTTTTTTATATTAAATAAAATTCTCTCCAATTTTATGGAGATAGGCTTGATTGAATTCAAACCTCATAAATATCTATGTTTCTATTCTTGTATTCATGATATTTTTATGTGTGTTTATGACACATTATTCTCACTCTTGGTAATCCTTTTAAAGTGAATTATTCTCATTAAAAAAAAAAGAAACTAAACATATCCATGCTGAAACCTATAAGATGGGTCCATTTAACTTAAACTGTTAATTATAGTCTAAATACAAAAATTGAAAAACCCTAAATTCCCTCTCTCTTAACTCCCTTAACGCTAAACCAATGCTAGATTATATAAAGAATTGAGGTAACTTTCTCGACATAGAAGAATTTTTACCAGACAAAAATTGAACTAGCTTGTCATAAACATAGAACAATAAAGGTTGTATAAATACCTCGATGACCATCAAAAATTCCGAACAAATGAATATCTTTCTCATTCCACATTTGGGGAAGCAAAAAGTGTGTATCCTCCATTTTCTCCCTTCTCCCACAAGCACCAAAAGATCCCCATGATACCGTGGGACGGTATTGCAGAGGTTCATCTAAAGAACTAGGCCAGAGTTTCATATTTTTAATTTCATCCTGAGATTTCTTTGATGATAGCTCCCCTTGGGTGAACCAATTCAGGTTTTCTTCAAATTTGGGAAGGCTGTTCAAACCACTTTGATATTGACTGCTCAAAGAAGATGACAACACTTCAAAAGGTTTTGCCCAACCCACTTTCATGGCATCCTTCATAATTTCATCTAGTTCTTTGGTTATGTCATTGAAAGATGGTCTGAATACAGGATTTGAGTCCCAACACCTTTGGATCAATGCCATAAGACTTGCCGGTAAGCCAGATCTGAATTGAACAAGGACAGGCCGCAGTCCTTCAGAAACTACTGCTGCTATAAGTTGCTGCTCGGTATAGTTCATTTCAAGAACAGTGTGTGCCTTGAAGTAAGGAACAATGTATTTGTAATTCAGTACTGAAGCAAAACATTGAGTGTACATAAAGGCAAGGATTTCTAATCATCATTATTCAGATCTCAACAATGCAAATCGTTAAATTATACCTGAGCTTCTGCTCGTAAATCAGTATAAGGAACAACGCCTGTAAGAAGCTCGCTGCGAAAGATAAATTGCGTAAGAAAGGTAGTGCAACTTGCCAGTTTTTCATTTAACAATCACGCAATGACGAAAATTTGAAAATTTATTCGAAAAATGCAAGATGTCAAAATTGAGGCGAGTACTCTATTAATCTGGGCTTTGATGCATTATTAACTGTTATATTTCTACGTTTGATGTAACATGTCTACCATATTCTCTAAAATTTGTGTTTGTTTGATTCGTTTTTTTTTTTTTTTTTGACTCGTTTCAATATATTGTTGGATGATAATAGGGGTTGAAAAATGCAACAACACCATACATTATAGAGAGGCTATTTTCATTATTAGAACACTAGATCATCGACCAGCAAGTATAATGCAGGTAACCTATTCATTACTGCTAAACAATCATCAACACAATCGAATGGCATTCAAGGCATGAGTCAAACCATATATAGACAATTTATCAAGTGACAACATAACCATACGTACATATATAATTCAATTCTGAAGTTCATAAGAGATATAAACACAATAAAATAGTTGAAAAAGTGCAATTACTGTTTCAATAACTACAACATTATAATATTATCCCATGTATAACGGCTATAACAGATTCAATTATATTTCATGTTACAATATCCTTATTAGAGTAAAGGTAAAATTAACATACCTAGGAATAAAGGTAAAATTAACATACCTAGCACACAATTCTTCTAAATTAACATACCTAGAAATTAACATACCTAGGAATAAAGGTAAAATTAACATACCTAGCACACAATTCTTCTGTATTTATATATCTCAAACCTAAACTTTCATAGTTACATATATAGCAATTTGGTGCTTTAAACATATACATGAAATGTGAATTTCACTTTTAAAAGATGGTAACAGTGTTATTTTTTATATGATATTAAAGATCTGAGTTTTATATGTGTGAATATGAAAGTTTAGGTGTGAGATATGAAAATACATAAGAATTGTGAGCTATGCATGTAAATGCCCCTAGAATAAAATATCATATAAGATAAAACATAACAAGCTTGACTTCCTACAAAAGTCAATCATCAATATCATAGACATAAAATATCAATATTCTTAAACAAAAGAGGGATATCATGAAACTATCGGATGAAAAAAGAGAACATCTCTTCACAACCAGCAGCGTGAGGAAGAAGCTTACTTGATCGATATAGCAAAACTATATACATCCGACTTTTCAGTATGTATATCCTTCCTCAATATCTCTGGCGCCATATAGATAAGTGTCCCAACCATGTTTTTTTTGTGAAATCCACCAGTAGGCTTGCCAGATGATTTCCAATTCTCCAATGATACTTGTTTAAGATCCTTCACATATGCGGCCAAACCAAAATCCGTCAGATGTGGAAGCAAGTTACTGTCAAGCTGCGCAAAAGACAATGAAATTAATTAATTGCAATGGGTAATATGCTTAAAGTAAGTAAGAAAAAGTGCAAGACAATTACTAGAATATTTCCAGGCTTCACATCTCTGTGCACAAAACCAAGTTCATGCATGTACTGAAGAACATTGGCTGAAAATGGAAATAGGAATATTACATTTGTCAGCTGCATGAAAAGTTTAGAAATTTAAGAAAATATTTTCCACAGTGACAGGCCATTTAGTAACGAGAAACTCAAATCCTACCAACCTTCAATGAAATGCCGCTATGATGACTACTACCAATAAATCCTTTTAAGAGGTGCTCCAAGAACAAACAAACATATAAAAGCTTACATTTCTTTTATTTAAGAGGAATTTACATACAAAACACCTATTTCATATGTACTTACATGTCTAACACCTAAATTTTACCTTTTTTTAACATTTATATCAATCAAAGCTAGGGTTGTAAATGAACAAAAGCACTTGATTAACAACTTGAACTCGGTTCGATTAAAACTCGATCATGTTTGCTCAAATTAGTAAATAAACAAGTTTGAACATTTTTTAGTTACTCAGAGATTAAAAGAATCAAATTTGAACAAAGTTTAACTCGCTTGTTAATCTTCATGAACAAACTCATTTGTTGTTCAACAACTAACTATATTAAATATTCTATACTTATGATATATTATTTGAATAAAATTTAATTAACTATAACTTATTTAATAATAATATATTAAAATTTAATATCAATGAGCACTTAAATTTAATATAATTTTTTTTATTTAATGAATTAATTTGTTAATACTTATTTATGTTATCTGATTAAAAGAATATTAACTTACAACTTATATATTATTTATTTATTTAGTATAAATTAGTTAGATGTTAATTTAAAACCTATTTAATTCCTTATTTATTTAGATTCATAAAATCATTTGTTAACAATTTTATATAAAAAATAAAGTATTCATTCAAACTTTAAACTTGTTTACTGATTTTATATAAAAAATTAGTACCATTTGAATTTTTAGTTTTTCAATTAATATAAACAAATCAAGTTGAAATCAAGTATGAATACTGAAAATTTTAAAGAACCCAAGTATGAACATATATGTGAAAGCTAGTCTCAAACTCGAACAGAACATGAACAACTTATAATTCGAGCAAGTCAAGTCAAAACAATGATAAACTCAACTCAACTCAATTACAACCCTACTTGAAAATTTCATATTACATCAAAAATATCACTATTTTAACTTTTAAAAAGTGAAATGCATCTTTTCATGCATAGATAAGGTGAGATACATGCAAAGTTTAGTTGTTACACATGCAAATACATAAAAATTGAGTAGTATGTATGTAAATCTTCCTTTATTTCATCTGAAAGATTCTCAAGTTGCTAAGACTCTTCTTAAAGGATGCAATTAAGAGTATTGCAATTACAACGATAATTTGGGATGCCAAGGCGCCACTTAAAACTTAGCAGAATGAATCAAAAAGTTAAAAAACCTCATTAACTGTTGCAGAAAAAATGGTCATACTTTAGAAGATAGCCATGGATGTGTTATCCCAGAAAAAAACTGATGCTTCTATGATCAAGCAGTCACATAAATGGTAGAATTAAAATAAAAAATTATTATATAGTAACTATATTTCTGTAGGAAACATAAAAATGCACAAATTTAGTCTTTGCTTTTATCTATTTATCATACTATAACATGATGGACATCGGTAGCTTAGGAGAAACTCTACTCAAAAAGCTACTAGATTTTGCCAAAAGATATGCAAAGGGGATGAGACTGATATGAGGAAAAGGCGAACCGTCATGATTGCTCTGGTTATGGACAAGCTCATAGCACAACTCGATAAAAGCCAAGATCTCTAAGAGAGCCGTGGATGGTTTTATGGACAAGCTCATAGCACAACTCGATAAAAGCCAAGATCTCTAAGAGAGCCGTGGATGGTTCTAACAGAAAGAACCGGCTAAGAACATCGGACAGCTGGGAAGTCAAGGAAGACTATAAACTATACTGGAGGGTTCATAATTTGGGAAGGTTCTCTGATCAATTTAGCGTCTTCACAAGTAAAAAGGTTAAACAAATATACAATTAGCCGCCAGCAAAAGAGGCAGACAAAGTGAAAAGATAAGAAACTGTTAATAGCTTATTCAAAATTAATGTCTTTGATTTGGTCAATTCTTTAGGAAGTAGTTAATGAGTCGAGTCATGTATAAGTCAACCCACATTTCCATGTTGTTAGTGGTAAACATGGCTATAGGTTAGTTTAGTTTTCTCGAGTCAGCTCATATTCCCACTTTGTTAGTGGTAAATGACTATAGATTAGTTGAGTTAGTTTTCATTGTAAATCTATTTAAAAGTCCAACAATCAATTCAAGTAGTTGTGCCATTTTTCAGAAAAAAATTAATTTTGGTCTTGCCTCTTTTATTTTCTATACCTTGCTTTTGTAAATTATGTAAAACATCCAGTCCTCGTTCCCAACATTGACAAAGTAAGGTTGTGTGCCCTGGTGAGTTGTCCTGTTAAGAGTTGAGCAATATGAGTACAAAAAAAGGGAGACAATGACAGTCAACAGAAGTTTGAAGAGCATTTTACAACCTTCCATTCCCATTTTCAAACAACAAGTTGTTGTCATGATCTCAAAAATTGCGGCAGCAACTACTTCAAAAGAAGCATGAAATACATTACAAAAAGAATTTCAAGGCTCTGCAAAGGTAATACCAGTAAAACTTCAAACTCTATGAAGTGAGTTTGAAACTTCGATTATGATGGAAAATGAAATGTTGCAAGATTTTTTGTTTAGAGTAATTACTCTTGTTATTCAAATGATTATGAAGACAAAATTAGCGATGCAACTGTAGTTTCCAAAGTTTTGCAGTCTAACACCCAAGTATGATTATATCGTTACTCTCATTGAGAAGACCAAGGATCTCTCTGTTCTTTCATTTGATGAACTTGGGTACTTTGCAAACTCACGAGGCATGATGAAACAAAACAATTGAGAAGAATGAAGAAAAAACAGTTCAAGCTTCTCCAGTGAAGGGGAGGAAAACAAACAAGATGAGTTCGATAGAAGAGGACACGGAAGACGAGGCTTACGTGGTAGAGGAAGAGAAAAAATTCATTTTGATCGGAAAAAAAGATATTGCATTGATGAACAAAAAGGAAACAAGAGCAATGTCCAGTGCTAAATTGCAAGAAATTTGGGCATATAAAAATAAATTGTACAAATCAAGGCTCACTGACAAATTATATAGAATACAATGAAGAGAATAAATTATTGCTGACTCATTCTCATTCTAATGAAGTTTAAATGATACTTGATTTTTAGATAGTGGGTGCTCAAATCTATGACTGGCAACAGAATATTATTCAAAAAGCTCGATGAGTCGCAACAGATACAAGTTACACTTAGAGATAACAAACATATTCAAGTTAAACGAAAATGTATGGTTGCTACAAAAACTAGTCATAATAAAGTAAAATTACTTTACAAAGTTTACCCTGTTCCTAACTTGAATTTTTATTTTCTAAGTGTTGGGCAATTAATGGTTGGTGGTTATGCAATTTTATTTGACAATGGAGCTTGTGTTATTAATGATAAAGAATCTAGGAAATTTATAGTGAGTGTGCAGATGACAAATAAAAAGATATTTTCACTAAGAATCTCTACTGTGGAGAATTGTATTATCGTTACTAAAGAAAATAATGAATCTAAGATGTGGCATCTCACTGTCAAAGGCTTGAAGCTCTTAAAGTCCGAAAGTTATGGTCTTTGGATTACCTCAAATTGATTCTCTTGATTTATGTGAAGGAAGTACTTATGGAAAAAAAAAGAAGAAAGTATTTCCAAGTAGTTAATCTTGGAGAGCATTTAAATACATTGAGTTAATCTAATTCGATCAATGAGGACCTATGAGAACTAAATCACTTGGTAAAGTAAGTATTTTTTATTATTTACTAATGATTGTAGTCAAATGAGTTGTGTTTATTTTCTAACAAACACATCTGGGGCTTTTGAGAATTTTAAAAAATTCAAAGTTCTTGTAGAAGCGGAGTGAAACTTTTATAAGGACTTCACATGGATCTTGGTGATGAGTTCTAATATAGGAATTTGATCTTTTTATTATTATTTGTTTTGTAAAGAACATGATATTCACAAGGAGATAATTTCATCTTATACACCAAAACAAAATGTAGCCGAGCGAAAAAATTGCACAGTTCTAGAGGACTCTTGAATCATTTTTGGGCAAAAGCAGTAGCAACATCAGTTTATTTGTTGAATATTTGTCCCACAAAGGTTGTCATCAATTTCCATATGATACATGAGAATGTAAAAAGTCATTAGTAAATCACTTAAGAAATTTTGGTTATATTGCCTATGTTTTGTTAAGTTTCAAGTTTGTCACAAACCTGAGAATAAAACTAAAAAGGGCAATTTTGTTGGTTATTGCAATCAATTCAAAGTATAACGGTTATAAAATTCTCTTAGTTGTAAAATACTTTTAAGAAGGTATGTAGTTTATAATGAAAATGCAAGCTGAAATTAGAATGGTAAGTCTAAACCAACATAAATTCAAATCTCAACTAAATGTGAAACTGCAACAATTGAAGATGAAGTTGTTTCTACAAATTCTCCAAATAAAGTTGAGCCATTAATTTCCTCACCATAAACTTTAAAAAGTATCAATTTGTGCTCCTTGGAAAAATTTTTTGAGGAAATGCCTCCGGAAAGGTTAAAATTTTAAAAGAAATCGACGCTTATTGTAAATTTTCTCTTTTTCTTTCAGATTATATAACCTTTGAGGAAATAACAAAAAAATAAAAAAAATAATAAAATAATAAAAAATAAAGAAGAGTTGCTAGCAATCTAAAAAAATTGAAACATGGGAGATGGTGGATCTACACGAAGGCAAAAATAGTGAATGTTCAAGACAAAATATCATGTGGATGGTAAAAGCACAAAGCTCATCTCGTGGCTAAATGGTATTCACAGCAACATTGTATTGATTTAGAAGAAAATCTTTCTCCAGTTGCTCGATTTAATACTATGAGAACTGCTTTAGTCTTGGCAGCACAACCACGTTGGCATGTTTAGTAATTTGATTTCAAGTTTGCATTCTTGAATACAAAATTTGAAAGAAGAAGTTTCTGTTGGTCAACCTGAAGGATTCGTAGTCAAAGACAAAAATACAAAGATGTACAAGTTGATGCATGCATTTTATGAGCTAAAATAAGCTCCATGAGCATGGCATAGCAAGATTGATGGTTATTTTCGCCAAAATGGTTTCATAAGAAGTGAAAATGAGCAGAATCTTTATTTATGGAATCAAGTTAAGTATATTTTTATCATCATGTGCCTTTATGTTGATAATGTTATATGTATGAACTCTTCTGATTCTCTTATACTGAATTTAAATCTAACATAATGAAGATGTTTGAGATGTCAGACATGGCTTATTACATTATTTTCTTGGACTTGAAGTGAAATAAGGAGTTGATGGATTTTTATCTCACGAAGAAAATATGTAATGTGTCTCCTAAAAAGATTCAGTATTGCAAACTGGTATCAACACCCATGAATACAATGCGAAGCTGCATATTGAAGATGGTGCGGTGAAGACCAATGTTAAAGATTTAAGAAGCTTAGTAGGAGGCTTGATTTATTTGACTCATACAGGGCCAAATATTTTCTGATGATAGAAACATTATTTCAACTAGTGACTTCAATTTTGGATCTGATGCAATTACTTGAAATTCTAATAAGCAAGCTACAATGGCATTGTCTTCTTCAGAAGCAGAGTATGTAGCAACAACTTCAGCAATATGTCAAGCAATCCGATTCTTACAGATCTTCATCGAAAGCAAGATGGTGCAACTAATATTTTTTTGTAACAACAAGAAAACAATTGCAATGACTAAAAATTCAACCTTCCATTGAAGAACAAAACATGTCAACATCCGTCTACATTTCGTCCGAAATTTGGCTGAAGCACTGCAATACTCATGAACAACTAGCAGATATATTAACAAATCACTTTCAAGATATAAATTTGTTTACTTTAAATCTTGTCTTGGCGTATGCAATTTTGAATCAAGGGGGAGTGTTGATAATTTATTCAATATTATTGTCTTTGATTTGGTCAAGTCTTTAGGAAGTAGTTATTGACCTGAGTCATGGGTGAGTCAACCCATATTTCCATGTTGTTAAAGGTAAATATTGCTATATGTTGGTTGAGTTAGTTTTCTCTTGAGTCAGCCAATATTCCCACACTGTTAGTGGTAAATGGCAATAGATAAGATGAGCTAATTTTCATTGTAAATATATTTAAAGTTCCAACAATCAATTCAAGTAGACATGCTTTTTTTCAAAAGAAAAAATAAGTTTGTTCTCAACTCTTTCATGTTCTATAACTTGCTATTCTAAACTTTGGAGAAAATCCAGTCATATTTCCCAACAGAAACAACAGAACTAAACCTAGAAAAAAATAAAATAAATTTTCAGAGCCGTACCCAGGTTATAAGAAATCACAAGGGCTTCATCCACGGAAGGACTCCACTCCTCCAAATGCAATTTATGCGCCAAGCTTCCCATCTCATAGAACTCAAAGAAGAAAATATAATTAGGAGGTCTTGAATTCGCGGCAACCAGCTTAGCCAAACCAGGGTGTTCCAATTTGCTTTCAAATTCAGAATTAGCGATCAGAATTCCAAAACGAAACAAAGAGGACTAGTACAAAATAGCAATTTTGCATACCATAAAAGTTGCAACTCGCGGTGGAACTTATCGAGGTCCTCGGAGGTGGAGAGGACGGGCTTCTTAGCAGCGACCCTCCGGCCTTGGAGCCTTGCTTCGAATACGGTACTCTCGGAGCCTTTGATCAGAGGAATAACATCATTATCAATTAAAAAAGAGGGTTCGTGACATAATTTGAGGTAGAATCAAACTCATCTTATTTATACCTCGAGCAATGGTGGAAAGAAGAGAGTACTCCGAGGGAGGAAAGTGGAGGCGGATGGTGTCGCTAGAGCAGCAGCCCCGAAAGCAGGTATTGGGTTCCCCCATCTCCACCATGCTCACAGTGAAAGGGCAGGAGCCACACACATCAATTTTCGGGGATCGAAGCTCAGAGAAGAGTGATGGGGTTGTCGTTGAGGCTGTTGGGGGAGAGAGAAGCTTCGTGGAAGGTGGAAAGAGGATTCGCCATGGAGAATTGGCATCCTCGGCTATGAGAATTTCGGTTTAGTTTTTAAAACTATTTTTATTTTAGGGCAAAGTGAGGGGGGTTCCAAAATCTCTATACCGGAAAAAAATTGCGTACGTCAAGGGGCACGCAGAGATGCGTACATAATAGGGTACACGGGCGTTCAAGAAACCAAAGTACATATACCAAAGTTAAGAATCAATATCATATATAAAAGAGCTTCAAGAAATTGTCTGTTAAATTGTTCGACAATACGGGAGTTACACAGGAGGTTACACGGGAGGTACAACGGGTTAGAACCCCCTTGTACCTCGTGTACCCTATTATGTACGCATTTCTGCGTACCCCTTAATGTACGCATTTTTTTTCCATAGAGCCCTTGGTTCTCTTGGTTAATATTCTCCCCCACTTCTTAGAAAAAAATATTATATTTGGATTATATGTTGATCATATTATTAGATATTCTATTGGTAGTATTGTGGTGTTATTTTGGTGTTATTTTGATAAAATACAACCACGATACTATCAATAACACCTAAATACTACCATCTGTGATACTACATCATGACTCCTGATGTAATATTTTCTTCATTTCTATGGGCTCATCCAACTTTCACATTTTTCCTTTCCTACCTTAATTCTCAGACTTGCTCCCTCTAATTACAATATATTTTTCCTCTTCTAACATACCTACAAACTTCTCACTTTTTTACAATCCCTGTATGAACGAAAAGATTTTTTTCTCTGATCTTGAGTTGGTTGAAGGCTTCTTGAAATGGGTGAAATGAGATATGACTCTCGTCGGATAAGCCCGAGGTAAGCGTCCTTTTTACGACAACCTTTTTCAAGTTGTGCAAAAAAATTGGTAAACTTCGAGGTACATATGAACGCATCTCTCTTATTGAGGGTTTCATCCTCTTTAATTTACATGCATGGAGGATCTAAAAATGATTTTCTTATGCGGCCATTGGTTTTTTAATGTTCGGCCTTATTTTTAGAAAATGGTTTCACGTTTCAACCTATTAAAAAAAGACTTCAAACAGGTCTTGGTCTTAGTAAGTTTCCAAACTTACCCTTGTATTGTTGGATTGTTGGATTGAATACAAAATTTCCAAAATTGATGGCAAAATCAATATTTCATTAGTTGTTAACCCCCTCAATGCAAAAGGTTATCAACTCATGTTTGTAAGTCGGCATTTAGGTAGCCATTGATTCCTTGATCCCGGATTTTATTACTATTTCTATTAAAGAATAAGATGCACTTATCCTTATTCTTGATGAATGGAAGCCCAACCCATGCAAATTATGCTCCACGTTTCCACATGACCTTCATTATTGCCTGAAATCCCACAATTTCATCCCTACTCCTATATTACCCTCCCAAAGGCCCCTTAACAATATTACCAAACACTAACTACCTCCTCTCCCTTCTAGCTCTCTTCTTCCTATTATCTCCAACTTTTAACCTCAACGGTATGGTCCTGGCCTCAATGTACAGATCTCTCTCTCGCTAGGTGATATCAGACCTAACCTACTGCATTTCCCAAGACATTAGACTCCTTGTCAGTTGATGCCGATCATATTGAGGAAATTGATTTGCTTGGAGTTGTTCCTAATACTGACAAAGTTCGTACTTCATGTAACTTGCCTCAAAATACACTTATTGATCATGCTTCCCGTCATACACCTCTTCTTCTACCTCTAATCCCACCTCTTCCCTCTCCTCCTCATCCAAATTCAGAAAAGGTAAATCTAAAGGAGATGCCCCCAACGCTAATTATGCTTATGTATTTTCCCATATATTTGCTTGGAATGTCTAGAGCCTCAACAGTGATGTATGTGTTGTTGACTGTAATAGAATGGTTAAGATAAAAAAAAATTGATCGCTTTTTTTCTTTTGGAGAATAAGCATTCTCCTTCATCCATCTCTGATCATCTTTAGGCTTTGCTTTCAGCTTTTCTCAAATGAGAATGATGTTCACAACTTTCATACATCAAGTAATAAGCACAATTGGGTAAAATGGAATCCTTCCAAACATTCCTTCACTGCATTGGATTTTTAGCCTCAATATATTCATGATTTGATCCACATCACCTCTTTTGTCAACTTTCTCACTACATTTATTTATGTTGATAACAGTGCTACTTTCAGAAGAATTTTACGGGGCTCTATTATCTTTATTGCTAATACTTGTTCCACCTTTAGTTAATTTTGAAGAATTTTAATTGCAATCTTAGGTCGAGATAAAAAAATTGGAGGTTCCCCTCCATACTAACAAGCTTGCTGATTTTAATAATTGTGTTTTTAATGTTGGACTTCTCGTGATGTAAAATGCATGTTATATTTATAGCTGGTATAACAATCTTTCCAATTTGTCCATCATATGCCTACTTGATTGTGCTTTTTCTAATACTTTATGGATAAAATCTTTTCCTCTTTCCTTTTTTAAGGTTTTATAACCTTCTATTTATAATCATTTACTTATTTATGTTGTCTTGGTTCTTTTACCAAATTGAATTGCATATTCATGTATAAGAATTTTTTGGAGAGTTGCTTGAAATTGATGAGTATCATTGAGAATACATGGAATTTTACAGTAATTGGAGATCCTTTTTTGGCCTTTTGCCATAAGATGAAAAATGTTATGTATCCTCTAAAGGGTTGGGACTAGAGTTATTTCTCTAAACTATTTAAGAATATCTTTAATCTAAAAAAAGGGTAAGTTTATATATTTCTTTTTCATGATAATCAACCACTTAATATAAATATTCTTCTTAAAGCTTCACAGATTCAAGATATCAAAAAATAGTAAGGTTATATCTTAATTTCTCAAGAAAATCAATCACTTAATGTTGTTATTCTTCTTAAAGCTTCACAGATTCAAGATCAGCTCTCTAATACAATACTTTGTGAGCATAACTAGGTCAAGCAAAGAGCTAAATGCTCTCAAATTATCAAGGGTGATGATGACAAAAAATTCATATCAAAAAATTAAAATCAAGAATAATTCAACTTTATGGAGAAAATTTTGTTCAATGATAACTATATTCATGAGCAAGAAGAAATTGTTAGTGTTGATATCTGCTACTTTTTTAATTTTTTTTAATAGCACTAATGATTATAATGCAAATCATGTTCATTACTTCTTTTTGTGTTATTTATCTAATTTTGATTGCCTTTCTCTCACTCTTTGCTTTACAAATGAGGAAATTATACATGCCTTTCACTGTATTGGCTATGATAAAGCTCCTAGCCCGTTGGGCTCACTTTTAAGTTTTTTAAAGATAATTAAGAAATTATAAAATTTAATTGTATTTCTACTATTAATTTTTTTTTACTACTAGGCTTCCCCCTAGAATCAAATATTTGATCAATACTCTTATATTAAAAAAGTCTCATGTTCAGTCTCTTTCTAATTTGAACATATTTCCCTTTATAATACTATATGCAAAGTCATTATTAAGCTCCTTGTTGGCATACTCAAATCTTTACTGCCTAATCTCATTCATCGAAATAAGGTTGCCTTCATTAATGAGCAAGATATTGCTTAGAATGTTATATTAGCAAATAAATTTTTTTTTTGGACTTAATTCATGTGACTTTAAAGTTTTTTTTTTTTTTTTTGGGTTTTACTTTTTGAGCTTTTAATAGACAGAATCATTCCTTCTTATAAGGTATATTGGAGAGACCCAATTTCCCTATATTTTCATTTGACGGGTGAAAGTATGCACTGAAGATGTTCAATTCTTTATTCTTATTAATAGTGAGAAAAAGGATACTTCGCTTTCTCATATGGGTTACAACAAAGTTCCCCCTTATCTCCATATTTATTTCTTGTGTTTATAGATGTTGCTCCTGCCTTTAGGATAACACTGCTTTTTCTAATTACCCTAAGAGCTATAATATTGTCACCTTATTTATAAAGATGATCTTTTTAGTGTTTCACAAACAGAACATAAATTCTATTAGTCAATTTCATGTCCTTAAAATTTTTCAAACTACAACAGACTTATGTGCTAATTATGTTAAATCAACTATTTGTTTGTTGGTTCGATATTTTATACCCAACAATTTTTTTTATAATGCGTCTAGTTTTTTTAAAATCCCTCTCCCTTGCGATTATGTGGGTTAAAACAACTAAGTTTATTGTTGTGGATTGCAATAATTTACTTGATAAAATATTCACTAGGATTTCTTGTTGGAAATAGAAAACCCTCTCCATTGTTAGGAGATTCCAATTTATCAAAACTACACTTTAGGGTTACCTCCAATATTGGTTTATATCAACCACTCCCCTTAAAGCATTGAGAAATAAAATCACTTCCTCATTCAATAACTTTTACATCATAGCGGATCTGAAAAAAAATTTCACACTATGGATTGGAGAAATTTTACTCTTCCTAAACTTTATGGTGGCATGGGTTTGTCCAACCTAGACAATATCAATCTTATGTGCAAATCTAAATTCATATGGATACGCTACAATTCCAATTCCTTTCTATAAAATTGGTGCATTAAATATTATGGTTCACTTTGGTTTAAATGTAGATCTCAAATGTCTACCTTTTATAGAGATCTCTCTGAGATTATCGTTAGAATTATTGGTTTTTGTTTTATATTTTGTTACTCTAAATAAAAATGTTATATTTTTCTTTGACCCTTAGTTATTTGAGTTATTTCGTGATGAAATTTTTGAAGGTAGGTTTTATGTTCGTTTCAACCTCCCCTCAATGTCAAAGTTTCTCATGTTATTTCTAATGGGAAATGATATCCTTCTATTTCTATTGAATTATGAAAATTTTCCTTAAAATGAGTGGTTCAATTAAGAACGGTTTAAAGGCCATTGTCTTAAGTTGGCTTTACATATCTAGAAAATTATTCATTAGGGCTTAAAAACAAAGGATGTGCTTATTAGTAGAGGTGTTGCCAACTCCATATGTATTTTATATCAAATTGGTTTGGAAACTCAATACCACTTTTTCTTTGTACGCTTTCTCTCTTTCATGCATTACGTAAAGGTAGTATCCCTAATGATAATTTCTTTCTGACTAAAAAGTAACTTATTACAAGTTATATCCACCAAAGATTTTTTAGTAATAATACTTTGAAAAAGTTTTATGTGTTGGTTGTTCATTCCACTACTTATCATATTTTGTTTGAGAGGAAATTCAAGATATCCAGAATTGATATCACTAATATCAAGGTTCTCATTAGAACATTCACTGGATTATCAAATAAAAATGCATGAAATGAAAATTTAAACATGCAAAGCATCTTTCCATCAAATAATCATACAATATGTGATGCTCTTCGTTGATTATTGTTGGTTGGGATCTATTTTGACGTTCTTTTGGTTTTTATTTTGATGTTCTTTTGGTCTCTTAGTTTGTTGCATGATGATTTTTTGTATTTCATTTTGATTTTTTAATAGTAATGATGTTCCCATTAATCCTTGCATGGATGAAGTGTTTGTTTGGATCTCTGATTTCTCTCCTTTTTTCAGATTGATTTTTTTTTGTCTTTTTGGCTATTTCTTTCCTATGCACTTATTGATAGTCTTATGTCACTATCTTGTATAATAACAAGCAATCTTTGGTTTCTTATTATTCATTTTTCTCCTTGAGGGTTTTTTTGCTTTCATTGCATTCGTTTGTTCTATCTGCTTCTGTAAAATAAAACAGAGATACTCACTTGTACCTTTGTTTGTTGTCTTTGCTTGGTTTTTTTGGTTTACCCCTACATATAATGTTTTTTCTTGACTCTACTAAGGAAAATATATTCACTCACCTTCCAACACTTTACATAGCCCAAATAAGATCATTTTGGCTTGCTGGGGGGCTTTTCTTATTAGTTCAGACACTTTAGGAGGGTTTCATATGTAACATTTTGGGTTCCAAGCTTATACTTCTGCCATTTTTATGTTTTCTTTGTATTATCCTTATTTATTGTAGTTGTCATCAAACACTATTCTTTTCAATGGACCTGGCTAGGTGTGTGCTCTCACTTAATCAAAAAGAAAAAAAAAAGAAATACATGTGTTATTTTTAAAAAATTGACATACATGCCGCATAGTTATTATACATTTATATATATCTAATACCTAAATTTTCATATTAAAAGTAATAAGATTTGATATCATAAAATTATACATGAAAAAGTGTATATAACTTTTAAAATGTAAATATTAATAATAATATTTTTTATGTGATGTTAAAAAATTGAATGTTATGTATATAAATATATATAAAAAAAATTAGACATGTAACTCTTTGAAAATTAGAATGTATGCGTCTAAAGAGATTTGGGGTGAGTTATGGGGGTGCTTACTATGAACTTATTAGATAAAATGGCTCATGAGTAGATTTTTTGATGAGTTAATAAATCAAGCACTCACTCCTTGGCCCATAAATTATCTAACTTAAAAAATATTAGTATTAAATATAATTAACATATATTAAAATTTAATATTTATATCTCACTTGTTCAAGTGAATTTTTGTATTAATCTTATTTTTCATTCTTGTTGTCATTCAATTATAACAATAAATTAAATCATTATTACTTTTCTTCTTTTATAACAAATGAGCCAATTTGTGAGTAGGGTTGTAAACGAGTTGAGCTTGAATGAACTTAGGCTTGACTCATGTTCGATTTGTTCGAAATTGATTCATGTTCAAAATTGCTCGTGAACAGTGTGTTCATGTTCGACTTGACTCACATATTCTTGTTTGTATTCGACTCATATTTGGCTAGAAATCAACTCATTTGAATTAAAATATCAACTTTTTAAAAATAAAACAAAAAAATCTATAGAAATACTCAAAGGAAAAAAAATGTACATCTACAATTATTTGTTTACAATTTTTTGAAAATGAATATGACACATTTACACAATTTTATAACCACTAATTTAAACAAAATACAAATTTAGAATAAAAAAACTACAAAACAAATAATGACATACTTAACATCACCAAAACAATTTTTTTTAAGGAAAAAAACATAGTAAAATTCTTCAATCTTCATCTTCTTCAATCTCTAAGGTATACAATCATACATTTGTACCTGTACTTTTAACTTGGCCTAGAAAGGAACACATAATTAGAAATGAATTTATAAAAGTAAATTAACATAGCAAAAAAAAGTATATTATTTAAAATTATATATATATATAAAATTTCATATTGTAATAGGAAGCCAAAGTAAATTTGTTTCATAATGATAATGAAAAAAT